ATCCTCGGGGAACAACTTCTTTAACAAATTCATAACTGAATCCTTCCAATTAATAGGAAAATTTATATCCTTAATAGAACACAAAATATTATCCATATTTATCTTTTCCCTTATAATTTTATAAGGTGTCCCCCAAATATCCCTATTAGACATTGATTCAACAAAATTTCGCCAGCAACTTTGTTTAGCATAAACAATTTGCTGTCTATACCTACAATAAGTAACTCTATACTCTTCTTTCTTCAAATCTCGAAGTATAATATCTCTTTCACATTGATATTCTTTCCGTAACTTATTAACTCTATTTCTTAATTTATCTAATGTTAATGACCACCATCTTGTCTTATAATAACAAACTCTCTTTCCTTTTGATACAATATTTGCTGCTCTACTCATAGCCGTATGAACTACACCACAACACATTACTAAATTGGTTTTATTCTCAATTAAAGTAACTCTATTTTTATCCATATATCTATTAATTATATTTCTATACTTTATCCAATTTATCCCATGTTTATCTAAATAAATACCAAAATTATCTTTATCTCTGTTACTAACAATTCCAAAACTAATATCATACGTAATAAGAGCATGATCCGAAGAAGTGTATTCATGTGAAACCCTACAATTATCTATATTTAAATCTAAGGAAGAGGCATACGCAACAACATCAACAAATGATGAACCCCTAGATGATTTAAAAGTAGGTACTATATCCTGCTTATTTAAGACACGATACCCAAATCTATCTAACACTGACATAAGTAATTCTCCTTTATCATCCAGCTTCTTGCTACCCCAAAGAGGTGATTTAGAATTCGAGTCCATCCCAATCAACACATAACACCCACTCAAGGCTAACATAATTCTTTCTAACTCTACCAATAACGCATTAATATCATCCCCTGGTGGAAAGTACATACTAATTACATATAAACTAATTCCCTCTCTTACTAACTGTGTAACAACACAGTAACTAGAGGAAAATTGACTTAACTCCATTATTGACCATCTATCATTAAATACCACTAGAGCTGCCCACGGTGTTTGTAACAAACACTGGGGTAGATAGGGACATTTCATTTCATTTCATTTTGTTGGAACATCGTCGTTCGAGGTCGGCTCAATTGTGGCCGCCTCGTTCGACTGTTCCTATTTAATGTTCTCTACACCGCTAGGCTTCGTAGAGATTGTATACAGAGTAAGATATGGTAAAGTACAAAATATATGAATTCAGTAGTGCGCGACAATGTTACTTCCGCATTTTGCGGAGTTTGTTATGTACAATATATACATGTGTACTAGAGCTAGTACATGGATCACCTGATGCCATTTTTCTTCTGTCTCGTGTTCGTTTTTATAATTTCCTGGACACCTTTATACAGCACCGTGTTGATCACCGCAGAGGATGGAGAGATGGGCCATTGGAATCCTTCGGAGACGCTGGTTAGTCTTAGTTCGTTTCGCTGCTTTTCTAGGCGGATGCAGTCGTATAGGAGATGGTGTGGATCTTCGGGGACCCCACAGGTAGCACAGTTGGGCGAGTCAGCATGTCCGTGCCTGAAGAGATATCCGTTGAAGTCGCCGTGGTTCGTCAGGAAGGCCGTGCCGTCGTGGTCAATTACGATGTGGTCACTATGTATTCTCTGGTTTACATCGGGTAGGAAGGAGTAGAGGTCTCTTCCCTTGTCTGAGGCGTCCCAGCGATGTTGCCATTGGGCGCGATAGTATAGTTTCATCTTGTGTTTAATGCTGGTTTTGGAGATGTAGTTATATGCATTTTTGGTGTCTTGGTTACTTGCAGCCTTTGCCAAATTATCCGCCCGTTCGTTCCCTTCGTGGCCGATATGGGCCTTAACCCAGCTAAAGTAGAAGATGTTCTTTTTGGAGTTGCTATTCCTTAGTATGTTCCAGACATCCTGGATCAGCTTCCCCTTGTTGTTGACGTCTTGTAGCGCGTCGATTGCTGATTTGCTATCCGTACAGATGTATATTCCAGTCTGGTAGAAGTGTTTCTTCGCCCACTTCAGAGCCTTGAGAATCGCTAGTAGTTCGGCTTGGTAATTGCTGCAGTCTTTATGTAACTTCCAAGATTGATTGTAGGTTGCTCGATGTTTGCTGTAGTAGACGAAAGCTGCACCGACACCGTTCTCGCTGCGGGAACCGTCCGTGTAGATGCGTTTGGTGTTCTTCTGGTTGTAGGGAGCCAGGTTGATGTCCGGTATGTCTCTGATGTTAATTCTGTTGTTTGCCGCAGCTGATGGTTCGACGTGGCCGTCCTTGATGGTGATGTAGCTGGGAGCGGTGTCTTCTGTACGTGGTTGGTAGTTGTCCTTCCTCAGTTTGACCTCGAGATCCAGTGGTAGGACTCCGGCGAGCACGTGCAGGGCGTCGTTTGAGACCGTGCGGTACGCTCTTGTAGTCCGTAGCAGGATTCTTCGTTGAATGGCTAGTAACTTCCTGCGAATGTGGGTATGTGATGAGCTATCACCCCACGCACAGGCACCGTACACGGCCATAGGGACAATGGCACCTTGATATATCTTCTTTAGCGCCATCCCAGAAAGTCCCCAGTCTCTTCTTGCGACTTTTGTGAACCATGCGAAGAGGTTGCTCGTCTTCTTCATTACGTTTTCGACGTGTGGAATCCAACTTAGTTTGTCGTCCAGGGTAATTCCCAGGTAATCCAGCGTCGGAGAGATGTTCACCTGCACGTTGTTTAGGTGTAGTTTTGGGTGCCGCTTCTCCACGTTGTATTTCGTCATTATTAGGGCATACGTCTTATTGGGGTTGAAAATCAATTTGTTGTCGGTACCCCAGTTGTGGATCTTCTGCAGCATGTTGTTGGTAACTCTTTCGAGTTTATCTCTGCTGTTAGCTGATGTGATCAGGAGGATATCGTCCGCGTAGGCGGTAACGTGACCCTCACACATGAACCCACGCCGAAGTAAATCGTCTAGGATGATGCTCCAGTAGAGCGGGCCGGAACACGAGCCCTGTGGACAGCCGATGGTTACTTGTTTCGATGCATAGTCTTCTCCGTATTTGAGTGTCGCTGAGCGGCTTCTGAAGTAGTCGCTGATTATGTTGTATAAGTTGTTAGGGCACTGTATTTCTTCTAGTTTGGAGAGCAGAAGTGGCCACCAGGCACTGTCGAATGCGCCTTGTATGTCGAGGCTAACAACGGCAGTCCATGTGGCTGTTGACTTGCACACCTGCATCTGCTTGACGATTCTGTTGATCGCATCTTCGGCACTTGTGCCCTCCCTAAACCCATATTGGTTGGGGTGGAGGGGGTGATGGTTGTACATCCAGTCGGTTAATCTTTTTGTTATCAGGCGATCCAATAGTTTGCCCAATATGGGGATTAGGCAGATCGGTCTGTAGCTTTTCGTTTGGCTGACATCTTTACCCTTGCCTTTGTAGATAGGTACTACCGTGGCCTTCTTCCAATAACTTGGGAAGATGCCATTACGAAGGCAGCAGTTGCATAGCGATTGGAGAAGTGTTGGTATACTGTTATTCAGGTATTGGATTATTTCGATGGTAAGGCCGTCGTGTCCTGGTGCCTTTCCCTTCTTGAATTTTGCTAGGGCCCAGTTGATTTCCTTAGTTGTAAATTCCGGTGTGTCCTGGCCGTTGGTCTTATGCTTTAGGTTGTTCCTGATGGTACTATGTTGGAGATTGTCTCCGGATGGGTCATCATTTTTGAAGAACTCGTCCAGCAGAAATGTTAGACATTCCTTGGTGTTTGATCCTCTCTCACCGTTGCTATTTCTTAAGTCCGTTAGTTGGAATTTCTTCTTTATTTTGTTAGTTCCTAGTTTGTATAGTATGCTCCATGGGTCCACTGAGGATCTTGTACAGAAGTCCTCCCAGCTGGTCTTTTTTGCTTGCCGTATGTGTTCTTTATATTTCTTCTGTTCCTCAAGATATGATTCTTTTAGTTGACTTCTCGTCGTTTGGTTCTTGCATTTTTGGTACTTTCTTCTTTTGGCCTTTAGCTTATTTTTGTGTATCTGAAGGTCTCTGCTCCACCAGCGGACGATCCTTTCCTTGTTGTTGAAGAGAGGGATGTGTCGTTCGATAGTTTTGGTGAGTAGGTTAAGGAAGTTGTTGGTGGCTTCTTCTGCTTCTCTTTCGGTATGGATGTCTTCGAAGGTGTAGCCTGTTGTTTTGATCGTGTTAATGATGTTATTCCAGTTTGCTCTTCGTAGGTTGTATTTCTTGATATTCTGACTTGGCTTGATGAAGTTGGTTATTTTACATGTGATGTACCGGTGGTCGGAGAGAGTGATGTTGTCCAAAACCTTCCACTCGTTGATGTAGTTAAGGGCATGCTTGTTGCAAATGGTTAAGTCTACGTTAGAGGTGCCGTTGCTACTCTCGAATGTGCTCGGATTCCCAGGTTCGTTTAGGAAGTACAGGTCCTTCTCACCGGCGAGTTCCTCAATGGCCGCGCCTCTGTCGTCGGTTTCGTCTTCGAACCAGACGTATGAGTGCGCGTTGAAGTCCCCGCCTATGACGATTCTATGCGTGTTGTTGTATTTATCCAGTACAGCTTCGATATCCTTTAGGGCTGTGTTCATGTCTGAGTCCATTGGCACGTAGACGCTCCCCATAATCCAGTGTTGACCATTGTTGTTAATCTCGATGAACGTTTGGTGGGCATTACAATGTTGCGTTAGGAGAAGGCAGCAGAGATCAGGATCTGTGATACCAATCATCGTCCAGGGTGCTTCATTCTCGCAGTGGTACAGTTTCTTCATCTGTATTGGCCATCCGAGTGGTTCGCCGTCCTTTTGGTATGGCTCTTGCAGCAGCAATACCCCGGCATGGGTAGTATGGTTGGCTACCAACTGGGAGACAGCCGCAACACCACGTCCTAAGTTATTTTGCAGTATATTTAAGGATGGTTGATTTTCGCTGAATGATATACTTTCCTCATTCTGGTAGATGGCTTTATCCATAGTTGGTTTTGGCTTGGATGCTTCTGATTATTCTTGTTCTTTCACTGCAGCAGTTATCGTTGGCTTTGTGGACGAAGTTGTTTGCCTTGTTCCTAATGCAGTTGATGCAGCTAGGTGCCTTGCTCTTATTTTTACATTCCGCGTATTTGTGGTCACCCCCACAGTGGTTACAGAAGGCCCGATCGCTTGAACATTCTTTAGCAAAGTGTCCGTATTTGCAGCATCTGAAACACTGGACTATGTTGTAGTAGTCGTCGACGCTGCATCTAACCCAGTCTATGTTGATTTTCTTTATTCTTGATAGTATTTTCTTAAGTTTGGGCGCCACCTCGCAAACCCAGTGGTTCACCTCGGGTCTTCTGCCCCATTTATACTTGATGTTAATGTCCTTTTCGTAATCTTCCTGGTTCGAGTAGTGTTCTGCTATCTTCATATTTTGTTGGTATATAGCCTCTTTGATTCCTTCCCTCCCGATGTCGGCTGGTACGTTGTAAATCGCTATTTTGGGTAAGATCCTTTTAGGTTCTCTTGCGGTTAGTTTCTCAATTTTGCAGATCTCTTCGATGATGTTGCCTTCACTTCCTTGTTTCTCCAGCTCCACTAGGATGCTTTGATTTCTTATCTTCCTGACTTTGGTTATGCCCACCTTGAGGGCCTTCGGGTTGAGGTGTTGTTTCAGCTTCTTCTTTATGGTTTCTGCGTCCTCCTTTTGGTCAACACTTTCTACGATGATAACTGATGTTTTGTGGTTTGTCTTCGATGCGGGTGTGGGTCCCTTGGCCTTCTCCGCATAGGTTGGTACTGGTTGATGTCTCATTTTACCGTCCTCTATCAGCTGGTCAAGCTTCTTGGAGATTGCTTCTATTTCTGTATTTGCTGGCTTCTTGGTTGTTTTGTATACATTGATCATTCTGTCAAAGAACTCAAGTATACTACGGGAGTGAGTTTTTGTCCCAAACTTGGAGTTTGGGTTCTCCTCCATGTATTGCTCGAGCTCGTCCCTGATGGTGAATAGCTCCACCATCCCTTGCTCGGCTTGCCCCTCAGTCGGGGTAACGGATTCCTCGTCCCTACGCATAGCCTGGAAGGAAGTGACAGGGGAGAAGAATTAAGAGTAAGATAAAGATAATAAGTAAATGGCACTGAAAAGTGCCGTTAACAGCTGCTGTTAGCACCCCATTAAGAAGGGGAAACAGGGCCACCACGTGTAGGTCAGCAGCTGGAGACAAGAGCGGTGTACTGCGATAGATAGCTTCTAGTAGACACTAGATAAAAGTGAGTAACACTTCGAAAACTTGGTTCGCTTCGAAAAAGAGCTCACAAATCGCACACAAAATCGCTTTAGGGTCTCGGCCCCGGTAGATAGGGACATTTTTTTTTTTTTTTTTTTTTTTGGTAATCATCATTTCCCCAATGGGGATCAGCATCACCCTTGTCCCACTATCCGTATAACAAGGGAGACTTTTCTTTATTCAATTTATCTTGTATATCTTGTACAATTATAACAATAAATAAAATAAAATAACAAATATATACAAAAGGCTCTTGCCTTAAACCTAGTACACTTGATTACAATACCAGGATACAACTCGTATCCCTTTCACGACAATATTCTCCGCGTGAAGTTCTGCAATTCCCGCACTAAGTCCCTGTGTCTGAGGCACATATAAAGGTCTATCTCACTTGTATGAATGACGTCTTTCGCTTGCAGCTGAAATTGCAGACGTTCCTGTTCGTACTTACTGCACTCTTCCAGAAGATGCTCCAGACTATGCATCCCGTTTCCGCACACACATAAGGTATCCTGCACTTTATTGATTCTTTTGAGATAATCTTTCGTATTGCAGTGATTCGTCAGAAGCTGAGTTAAATAGAAGTTTGGTGTTAGCCATCTAAGTTCTCTAGTCCGTTCTTCAACACTGGGAAGCAACCAAAAAGTATGTCTACCATTCCTCCCATTACTCCATTCTTCTTGCCATATTTCTACTGTACTTTGTCTTAATCTCCTTTTTACATATGATATTGGGATTTTACTGTACGTAATCTCTNAACACTGGTATTGACGTATTGTTCACTATAGCCATTGTTCTTGGTCTTACTCCTTCATCTACATTATATAGAGTTCTATATGATGTTCTTAAATAGCCTGGTACACCCCTGTAACAATAGGGCTCCTGCACCAAAGCTATATCAAGTTTTTCCATCGTTTTAGTCAGTGCCAATGTAGCCGCTATCGATCTTTGCACGTTCACTTGAACCATTTTAATCTTTATATTTCTATTATTGACTGCCATAATCGATCTTAGCAATTATGAGTCGACGTACCTTTTGCACTAAAGGGCATTTCTTATCAAAGGCATTATGGCTCACTTCTCTTAATTTCTCTCGTTTACAATTGCAACATTCCACTCTATGTTTATTGGGACAATCCCGATACTTGTGGTTATTACCACATTGACTACATACTATGTCCTTCTCAGGACAATTTTTGGCAATGTGTCCTATTTTGCAACATTTGAAGCATTGTGCCACATTGATATAATCTTCAATGCCACAGCGTGACCAACCTAGATTGATCTTTTTCCTTGGCAACAACATCTGTCTCACTTTTGGAGTGACCTCAATCACCCAATTTACTGTTCTTTTCTCTCTACTTCCAAATTGGAACTTTAACTCAATCTCCTTGGCATACTCCTCCATTGTCATACCTGTGCTCAAAACTTCATTCTGTTCATAAAGACAATCCAGTATTTCTTCTTTCGGAGTGTCCTTAGCCACCCCATAGATGATTAGTCTTGGTCGCTTCTTCGCGGGCTCCCTTGTCCTAAGGCCCGTCTTTTCTTCTATTTCTTTACGAAGTTTATTCTTGTCTTCAACACTATTAAGTTCAATGGCAATCCCTCCCTTACGCAGTTTACGGACTGCCTGTATACCGACTCCTATCTTCTTTGGATCCACTTTCTTCTTTAACTGTTCTTTTGTATATTCAGGATCATCTCCTTCTTTCGACGGTTCCACCAAAATAACCTCTTTAGGTTTACTTGTCTTCTTAGGTGCAGTAACCTGTGCATAACTTTGCGGAAAAGAAGTCTGTTTATTCAAAACTTGATCCAGCTTTTTGCTGATGTTTTCCATTGCGGCTTGCAACGGTACCGCTTCTTCTTTGTGGCGAAATAAGTCTATTAATTTATCGATTTGTTCAACCACGTAGCTCACGTGGCTTTTGGAGTTTATCCGACTTTTGCCACTGTTCAGCATATACTCCTCTATATTATCTCTGATTCCTTCTGCCGTTATAATTCGTTCATCATGCAGGGAAACTTCCATTTCCTGCGACGACACCTCGTCGTCTGTATCAGAGGTTTTCTGTCTCTTTGCCATAGTCCTTAAAAGGACTGTTTTTTAATAGTAAGAAACGCAGTAACTGTTTAGTTTCGCCCACGAGGGGCTACTTGCGGGCAGGACCACTTGGAGGTACAGTTACTACTTCCCCTTGGTTTCGTTATCGCACTTACAAGGAGAGCAAATTTGCAAGGCAAAACTGACGCCAAAGACGCACGAAATAGCTCACTATAAAGCACAACGATACAATTGGGGCACCCTGCCCGGTAGATAGGGACAATTTTTTTTTTTTTTTCAATTTTGTCGGAACCCTACTCTCCCGGGACAGGTTCCCTTGTCCGGCCCGGTCGAGCTGTTCCATTTTAGTGCTTCTCTGCTACGCTTAGCTTTGCAGAGAAAAATTTTATTCTAACTTAACATTATACACCTTAATTAACAATTGTGTGCCTCCTGTTACATCCTCGATACACGATATTTTAAACACAGTATAATCGCGTGTTGAGCATCACTACACGTTATTATTTTTAAATTTATAATAGTTGTTGGTTAATTCTAAAAACAATTTATAAAGACTTCTTGTTTCAAACAGTCCTTGTGGTGTGGCCGGCCAGAGCTGACCATTTTTTATGCAGTCGCAACGAAGAGCGTGCCTGCTCCCCTCTAGGCGGACACAGTGGTAAATTACATGGTTTGCATCTTCCACCGTATCACAAGTCTCACAAAGCTCCGAATCGGCATGCCCATACTTCATTAGATAACTGTTAAATTCTCCATGGTTTGTAAGTATACCCGAAACACTATGTGTTGGAACAAAGTGTTTATTTGCAAGCCTCTTTTGTATATCAGGGAAGAATTCAAATGTCCACCTGCCTCCATCGTCCGTGTTCCATCTCTCTTGCCATTTTCCTATATATTCTTTCTTTACCTTAGATTTCAGTACTTCTATTGAAACCCTTTTATATGATTCTCTAATTCCTATTTGGCAACTCCTCTTTGCTTATTTGTCTGCTTCCTCATTGCCAGATATACCCACGTGCGCCTTCACCCATGCGAACGTAACCTGGATTCGGTTTCTACTGTCGTCCTTAATTTTAATTATAATTTTCCATATTTCTTGTGTGAGATTATGCCTTCCATTTAGATCTTCCAGCGCTGATAGCGCTGATCGGCTATCTGAACATATACAGAATTCACCTGCATACTGGCTCCTAATCAACCATTTCCTTATATTCTCGTACCATCCTTTCTAATCCTAAAATTAATTGTGTAATGTCACTGTCTTTTGGGAAATACACACTGGCGATAATCCATCTCTCAGTCTCCATGTTTAATTCTATCACAGTCTGAACATTTGTGCAGTACCTTGTCAATAATGTGACACTTAGTTCCAGTTTATTTAAACAGATAATCGACCATATTGGATCCTCATTCTCACTATAATATAACTTCCTTGTCCTCATTGGCCATCCCAGGGGAACTCCCTTCTTTTGGTATGGTTCCTGTATTAGCAGTATATCGGCGTTTTCATTTGCCCAGGCCACCATCTGGGACACCGCCGCTATTCCTCTTCCCAGGTTCGCCTGCACAATCCTTATTTTTGTCCTTACTATTTCATTTTGGTTAATCCTCTTAATGTCTCCTTGGCTGTTACTATCCATAATTGATTCTATTTACAATAGCTTTAATCACTTTTTGCCTCTCCACACACGAATGATGATTCGCCGGGTGTGCGAATGTAGTCGCCTTATTTCTGATACAATTGATACAGTTTGGCGCCGTTCCTTGATTTTTGCATTCACTCAGTCTATGATCTCCTCCACAATAGTTACAATAACTTCTTTCACTATGGCATTCCTTCGCAAAGTGCCCGTATCGACAGCACCTGAAGCACTGTATAATATTATAATTTTCTTCTATTCCACAACGCACCCACTCAATATTTACTTTCTTTAACTTTAATAAGATTTTCCGCAGTCTAGGGCTCACCTCACATATCCAATGCTTAACCTCTCTTTTCCTACCAAATTTAGTTCTAATTGTGATATCTTTCAAGAACTCTTCATATTCTGAATATGTGCTTTGAATTCCTTCATTTTGATTATATAAACTCTCAGTTATTTCACTCTTATCCACGCTTGATGGCACGTTGAAGATTGTTACCCTTGGCTGAATCCTTCTTGGTTCTCTTGCCTTTAAGTCTGGGATCTGGTTAATTTCTTTAATAAGATCCTCTCCTTTCTTGCTGCCTTCTATTTCAATAAGCAGGCTTTTGTTCCTTACTTTCCTGACATTTCTAACTCCCATACCCAAGATTTTTGGGTTCAACTTTTCCTTTAATCTTCTTTTTATTCCCTCTGCTTCTTCATCCTTGTTATCACTTTCCACCAACACCACTGTGCCCCCGCTAGAGGAAGAAACAGGACTTACCTTTACTTTATCAGCATACGTAGTCTTCGCCGGACTTACGGCATTCATCTTCAGGAGCTGTTCCACTTTCTCAGTCAATTCTCCTATTGCTGTTCCTTCACTTTGGAATGTCTTTCCGTATATTTCAATCATCTGATCAAAAAAATCCATCACCGTCCTGAAATGGATCTGGGTTCCGAATTTCGAATTTGGATTATCTTTCATGTATTGTTCTAGATTTTCTCTTATCTTCAGAAGTTGACTTCTTCCTTCTTGTGGGTGGACCTTACTTGGTCCTGGCATGTCGTCACCACACATACCTAAAAAATA